CCGAGCCCTCACACCAGGCAGCAGGCATTCCTCTCCGTGGAAATTTCCCACCGCCGGGGGGGGGGGTGCCTCACCCAGCTCCTTGGTGTCCAGCACTGTCTGGGATGCGGACGATTCTTTCCTTCCCAGGGAGTCGGAGCCCACAGTGGTCCCGATCCTGGTAACCCCAGGGTGGCTGGGGCCGATGGCCACTGCCCAGGGGCTCCTGTCTGCTGGCCCAAGGTTGGGCAGACCAGGGAGGTGGACCCAGGCCAAAGATTACCCCATCCCCCAAATAGAACCCCAAAGACGGGCATATGTGGCGTCTCTCAGTGGGAAGAGGCACTGGGGACATGCCAGTGGGCTCCCGTGTCAGCTGTAAGCTTCCTGGGTGACCAGTTTTGCCGTCAGGATTCCCACAAGTCCACAGTGGCTCATGATGGAAGCAGCACAGATGGGTGAATGTGAGACCTGAACACAGGTTGCAGTCCCCTCCTCATCCCTCAGCTGCTGCCTCTTCCCAGCTGCAGGCCCAGCCCCGAGGCAGAAGGAACAGACCCCCCCCCCCATCCTAGGTCTCCCCTGCACCTGTAGGACTGTGCCTTAACCTGGCTCACCCGGCCCCATTCGCCATCATCCTGGAGGCGCTGCACACCTAAGAAGTGCGTGGAGTGGCAGACCGAGGCAGGGGCGATGCTGACTCTCACAACCCACGAGGAGAGCTCACTCATTCACAGGCACAGAACTTCCATTCTTCGGCGAAATCCTTCTGGATTCCTTTGGGGAGAAATGCTATCAAGAATGACTTAACACAGCTACGCCCGCCTACCAAGAGCCAGGGCACTTCCCACCACCAGGGCTCTGCCCAGCCCAGGCTGGGGTCTCCAGGAGCACCGTGTGCACTCTGCTCCCCGACGGGTGGGGTCTCCAGTGGCACCACACGAACTCTGCACCCTGAGGGGTGGGGTCTCAGGGCCACCGTGTACATGCTAACTCCCGGGATCCTCCAGGGCACACTGCGTCAACCAGGCACTTAGACAAAGTCCAGAGGCCACCACCCCCTGTGGGCCCCATTGTCTTCCAGCCTCTCAGGCCCCACGCTGTTGAGCTCCAATGCAGGTGAGGCGGGGCCGCTGGCCACCTGGGACGCCGGTGTTGTCAGGCCCAGGGGGCCTGGCCCCCGTCCAGCAGTCCTAGCTGTTCCAGAGGCTTCTGCTCTGTGTGCCGTCCCTGTCCAGCAGGTCTGAGGTGCAAGGGACAGGCTGGCACTGCATACCATGGTCACCCCCAGGGCTTCAGGGAACTACTGGGGTGCACCCTGTGTCCCCGCAGGCTGGCTCGAAGCGGTTCCCACCTGGGAACAGCCACCACAGAGGGGAAGCAGGCTCACAGATGAAAACGGATCTCACCCAGCACAGGAGGGGATGCCTGCCCCAGAGCCCCACGAGAAACTGCGTGAGACTTCCGGCCCTTCTGGTCCAAGGTGGAAGCCACGGACAGCGGCATGGACAGTGTGTCCACTGAGGCCCTCCTCCCTCACGGGCTTCCACCGAGGCAGGGTGAGGAGGGCTGACCATGGCCACGCAGCACAGCTGGAACGCCAAGCTCCGCCGCCTGTAGCTCCTCCTGGCTCCTGGAGGAAGGCGCCCCTGACCATGCAGCAGGTCCCGGGCCAGCTGCAGCCTCAGTTTGGCCAAGCGGCTGCTGCTGCGTCTTCCAGGCTTCAGAGTCCTCCCAGAGGGTTGGCCCGGATGCCAGGAGAGGTGGCCAAGAGCTGAGCTTCTGGGGACGGAGCAAATCCACAGGAGGCCGGTGCGATGGCCCCACGCCTGACCCTGACCCTAATCATCCGCAGCCAGGCCCATGTCCCCAGGGATGCTGGCTGGAGCCCCCAGGTGACCTGGGAGCCCAGGAGGAAGCCCCAGAGGAGGCCTGAACGATCACGCAAGTGAGAGACGTCAGGGACACTGGCAGTCCCAGCAACGACTTGCAACGTGCAGTGCAGGCAGGTGGCAAGATTCGTGACCGCTGCTCGTGGGACCTCTCCTCTGTGCCTCCTCTGACACTGGCTATCCCCAAGGGCCCACTTCCCGTCCCCTGGTGGTCATCCGTCAGAGGGCATGTCTGTGCCACATGCAGAACCTAACGCTATCCGAGCAAATCTTTGCGGCAGGCAAGTGAATTATAAGAATGCTCGGCCAGATTAACCAGGTCTGCGAGCAGCAGCAGAACGAGTCTGTTATCCTCGGAGCCACACCTGGGCGAGTGACAGAACCAACAGGAGCTGCGGCTTGGGGGCTCGTGAGTGACACGAGAGACAAACTTCTGGGGCTCCTGCAAACAGAGAGAGGCCTGGGTGCCAGGTGGGCTTGGGGTTGCGTGGACTCCCCGGCACCTGGGTGATAACTGGAACACCCCCCCCCCACACACACACAGACACACTGGGAAGCTCCAGGATGCGAGTGAAGCAGCAATCGGAGCCAGCAATGTGTCCAAAGGAGGCAGAGAAGGCCCAGGGGGCGGCCCCGACCTCCGGGACCACTCGGCTGCTCTTGGGAGGGGCCTGGGGCTCTCCTGGGATTCGGGCCCAGCTCCGAGTTCAAGGAGGAAGGAAAGCCGGGGAGAACAGAAGACACAACAGCTGAGGAGGTGGGCGGCAGAGGCAGCCGACAGGATCAGGATCCGGCTGTGCCAGCGGCGAATAAAACCACAACCCTCTGCAAGTTTATCAAAAGGACCGGAGAAGAACGCGGTGCAGAGAACCTGGCAGAGTAAACCTGACCCAGGATCTGAAACCTCTCCACCTTTGCTGCTTCGCCAGCCAGCTGCCCCTGCACGCCCCTCTTCCCTGGTTGCTCGTTTGTGCCACCTCTCCCCTCGGCACGGCCAGGACCAGGTGGGGGCAGTGCTGCGCGGCCCTAGGATTTGAGGCCGCGGCTTCACTGGGGAGGAGACCCAGGCCCGACCCTTTGTCTGCATTTGTCCCTTTTCCTTCCTCAGCTGGGTTTGCGGGGTGAGGGAGCGGCGGCCGGCCGGGGCCTTGGGAGGTGCCCCGGGAACCGCGCAGCCAGCGAAGCGGACCCCAGATGCCACATGCGTGGGGAGGATGCCGGGAGGGGCCGGGAAGGAGGAGGAGTAGTCCTGGGCCTGATTGCGGGAGCTGGGAGGAGGACTCCTGGGCAGCACCGGCGCCGTGGGTTGGACCGCAGGAAACCTAGACTCGGTGGCGCCCGGGACCCCAGACGGCTGTGCTCAGAGCCGCTTGCTGCGGACCCTGCCTGCCCTGCGCCCTGGCCCTGGCTATCCCTGCAGGAGCCCTGGCATTGGGAGCCCCCAGCCCAGATCTCACCATTTCCCGGGCTCCAAGGGCCCAGACCCCTCCCCAGCCAAGGACTTCCTGAGACCAGAGGGGAGGCTCCCACCCATCTGTCCCCAAGGGCTCACCAACCAGAAACCAGGGTGCTCGGCCAGCAGGCAATGATGGCTGAGTGGCCGGTGGGTGCCCACGGCCCCAAGCCTCAAACGCCTCCACGCTCCACTGCCGGCACCGCCCGATTTCGTTAAGCGAAGCTCAGATTCTGAGCCGTTTGCTTCAGCGCTCCCGAGAGGCGTTTACAGACCTCACAGCAAGTTTTCTTAATCTTGCAGCTCAGGGTTTGGGTTAGGGAGATGACGCTGCCTTCTGGACTTTTGGTGGTGGTGGTGGTACTATCTCAACATGTTTGAGTGCATTGTGTGGCCATAATCCCTCCACAGAAGCCAGGGAGAGGGGCCGCCTGGGAAGCGTGGAGGGAGAGGGTAGATCAGAGCGCACAGGGGCGGGAGCGCCCACCGCACCGCCCAAGCTGACTTGGTCTGGTGAGCCTCACGGTGTCCCTCCTCAGAACCCCACTTTCCGGCTCCCACTGCCCATGACAGAGCCCCAGCAGCCAGCCAGGTACCCCCGTGGGCTCAGTGCCAGACCCGTCGTTAGCCCATTAGCCCTGCATCACCAGCTGCCCAGCCGGGACGCCCAGGGCAGCCCAACAGGAACACTGCCTTGGGGGGTCACAGGACAGCTCCCGTCAGCGGGTGTGGGTGGGGGGGAGCCCGGGAGCCGACCAAGCCCCAGCCTCAGCACTGCGCTCAGGCCCCTGGGTGCTCTGAGTGCATCCGCCAACCTGGGCGCTGCCTACCCGCCGGTGTCCCCGCGCTGTTGTGTGCCAGGTGCCTGAGCCCCGGGAAGGGAACGGAGAGGGAGCGGGTGCTCCCGAGGGGTCGGGGCGGGAAGGGGGAAGGTGACACTGGAGCTGGCGGGAGAGCAGCGGGAGTCGGGGCAGCGCCCGCACGGCAGCTCCGGGAGTTTTGTGTGTCTGGAGCGTCAGGCGAGTGAGAGGCTGGAAACCGCGCGAGCAAAAGCAGAGCCCGCGGAGCTCGCCTCGCAGGCTGGGGAGCCCCAGCGAGCGGCGCGCGAGGTGCAGGCGGGGTCGTGCGGCGCCGGGGACGCTGCCGCCCTGGAGCCGGAGGGCTGAGCCCCCGCCCTCCGAGCTCAGTCGCCCCTCGCGGAACGAGCGGCAGCTGCGGTGGGCGGGGAGGGGCGGCGCCGGGGAGGGGCGCTTGACCCTCTGCGTGCTGTGGGTGTGCGTGGAAGGCAGTGCCCGGCTGGCTGCCCCGCTGGCCCCGGTCCCGCGCTGGCGCACAGGGAGCGACTTCGGGAGCCCCGCGGGGGATGCCGGAGGCGCCGGGACGGCCCGTCCATCCGCACAGTGTCCGAGTCCGAGGGGCCCCGCCCCCAAGGGAGGCGGCCACCCGGTCCCGGTTTGCCCTTCGCAGCGCGACCTCGCGGACCTGTGCCTTCCCGGCAGCTGCTCCGGAGAAGGCGCCGGGAGCGGCGCGCAGGAGCTGGGGCCGGGCGTCCTGGGCAGGGCGTGCGCAGGCCGGGCGGGCAGGCGACGGTGTCTGCGCTCACGTGTGCGCGGCGGGGGCGGGAAGGCCCCGCCCTGGGGCCGCCGGATTAAAGGCCACCCCAGCTGGCGGGGACCGGGACTGCCGCCTCACCGGCTCGCGCAAGGCTTCACGCCGCCCACGCGCGTCCCGCGGCCTCGCGCAGAGGGACCCTCCCCACGCGACATGGGCGTCGGGCCCCGGCGCTGAGCGGCAGAGGCAATGTCAGGGCGCGGGGGCTGCGGCCCTTGCTGGGGGTTGCTGCTGGCGCTGGTGCTGGCGCTGGGCGCGCTGCCCTGGACGCAGGGCGCCGAGCAGGAGCATCACGATGAGATCCAGGGCTTCCAGATAGTCACGTTCAAATGGCACCACGTCCAGGACCCCTACATCATCGCGCTCTGGGTCCTCGTGGCCAGCTTGGCTAAGATCGGTAAGCGGCCCTGGGATCCCGTCCGAGGGACCAAGCCAGGCGCGGGCCTCGGTCTCGGCGGCGCCGCCGCCGCCTGGTCTTGGGTATCCGATGGGGAAGGGGCGCGTCCGGCGGAGTTGCGGCCGCCGCGGGTTGGAGCGCAGCTGCAAGTCCGGGCGCCAGGCCGGTCTCATCGGCTCCTTCTGCTGGCGTCCAGGCCGCTGTCGCTGGGTCTCCCGCAGGGTCTGGGGGCTTTAAGGCTCTCGGTCTGGCCGGGTTCGGCGACGTTTCCCTTCCATCAGAAAAGCAACCCCGGGAACAGGGCGAGCCCGGCGCGGCTTGTCTGTCCGCCCTTTCTCTTCCTGAGCGGCGCACAGGTCCGGGAAAGTGGGGCTTGCAGGGACCTCCGGGCAAGGTGACAGCAAGGTCAGCGTTCTTCTGCGCGGTAGGGATCAAAGTTTGCAGGGAGGGTCTTCCTGGAGGCGCTGGCTGGCTTGATTGAGCGGTGGAGGCTCCAGCTGGGTGGAGCCAGGGAGCCGAGCAGCCGCCCCCGGGGGAGTTCCCATGGGGGAATCTGGTGCAAGGAGGGGCGGCTTAGGGGTCCCCTGCCAGCCTGGGGGCACGCTGCTGGGGTCTGCTCCTGCAGACCTGGCCCCTCCCCTTCCATCCCTCTCCTCCCTCTCCCTCTCCAGATCCTCCTGTCTCCTCTTCTCTGTGGCCTCCTGGCCCCCTGACCTGGCCGCTGGGTCTCCTCGTGAGAGTGGGGCTTGTGGCCTTGCCACCGTGGGTGCAGGGCCAACCCTGGCTGCTTCCTAAGGCTACTGCCTGCTGAGGTCCAGCCTCCACAGCCTGCCGTGGGAGCAGCAGTGGGGAGGGCTCAGACAGTGGACGGGGCACTCGCGGGCCAACCCCACTCGAGGGGACCGGGTTCTGCCTGGCCCCAGAGCTTGCCGTTCCCTAGGTCTCCCAAGCACGCGGACTAGACCAGAGTGGACGTCCAGGCGGCTGTGGTGGCCACCCATCCCCCTCCCCAGCAGCACATGCCTGTGACCAGCAGGGGCTCTAAGGACACAGTCTCCTGTGCAATGTCCCACCCTGGGGTGCATCCGCAGAGGGGCCAAGTCTCCTTTGCAATGTCCCACCCTGGGCCGTATCCACAGAGGGGCCAAGTCTCTCCCCCCTAAAATGTAAGCCAGGACCCTTGCTGCCCCTCACCCACCTGCCCTCTGTGTGGCCGCCCCTCCTGGTGTCTCAGCAGCTCAGAGGCCCGACCTCCTCCCCACCCAGGCCCTGGCTCTGACCTGTGCCCCATCTCCACTGCCTGGCTGGCCACACCAGCACCGTGGTGCTCTCCTGTTCACCCAGGGGTATGACTGCCCAACAGGGATCCTGGCATGGTCATCTCCCCACACGCAGGTGACACTGGGTCCCCTCCTCGTCCCCTCCTCATGGAACAAGCCCCAGCCTCACAAGTCACTGTGGTGCCCCTGTGTAGGCCCCCGGCCCAGACTCTGCCCCCCCCCACTCACCTTCCCCAGCCCCAACAGTAACAAGCAGGCCCCCACACCCATCCCCCTCCCTGTGGCTCACCCTCCTCCTGCCCCCTGCCCTGTGAACTCTGCACCTGACCTGCCTCCTCGCAGGTCTCCAGAGCCGCTCCCCGCAGCCAGAGGCCCCAGCGCCATCACGCAGCCAGGCGCAGCCACTGTGTGGCGGATCCTGCAGGAATGGGGGATCCTGGGTTCCGTGAAGCTGCCCCATGTCCCCAGCCGAGGGCTTCATCCTGCTTGTGGAGCCATTGTGTTGTCTGAAGCGGTCGGGGTGGTCCTACCAGGGTGGCTGGGTGTTTGTGATCTCCCAGCATTTGGTCAGAGTTACAGAGAGAGGGGAGAGATGGAGAGAGAGCGAGCGAGAGGGAGAGAGAGAGAGATCTCCCATCTGCTGGTTCACTGCCCACATGGCCACCAAGGCCAGTGCTGGGCCAGGCCAAAGGCAGGAGCCGGGAGCTTCATCTGGGTCTCCCTCGTGGGTGGCAGGGCCCAAACAGTTTGGCTGTCCTCTTCTGCTTTCCCAGGCCATTAGCAGGGAGCTGGATGGGAAGTGGAGCAGCCGAACTCGAACCTGGCGCCCGTGTGGGTGGCCTTCCCTGCACGCCACGATGCCAGCCCCTGTTCCAAGTCTCTGGAGTGGCACATGAGCACCCAGTCTGGCTCTGGGTGTGTCCTTCGGGCAGCTGGGGACAGAGAGAGGCCGCAGAGCTAGAGCTGCCCGTTCCAGCTGCTAGGGACAGCGCAGCAGCAGCGTGGCCCAGAGCCTGCTGAGGGTCAGGTGTGGGTCTGGGCTCCCAGAGGCTTTGCTGTGAGCTCCCTGCTCTGTGCCCTTGGCCCCTGGGCTCCCCACCTGGCATGGAGAGTCAGAAAGGGAGGGAGGAGCCGCTGAGGCTGGAGCTCCTGTCCGTGGCACGGGGGCAGGGACATCCAGGATGCCTGCTCCTGGGGTCTCCAGCCAGCAGCCACACACAGCAGGTCACATCCTGCCTCATCCCGTTTGGTGAGCTGGTGACCCTGGGCCAGGCAGGAGAGCTGAGGAGGCCAGGGGAGGCGCCCGGGCAGGCTGAGGAGGAGGCCAGGCTGCGGGGGTCCATGGGGGAGGCTGAACCGGCTCTCTGCAGGCCTCAGAGGACTTTGGCCCCTACTTGGGGCTGTCGGGAGGGCGGGACTTGGTCAGCACTGGCCATAGGGCAATGGACAGAATGGGCACAACCCAGAGCTGCTCCTGGGAGGACAGCGGGGGTCCTGGGCTGTCAATTGCAATGCAGAGGTGGGGGCTTCCGGCCCAGTCTGTCCCCCTACCCCCCGAGCTGCTCGCTTCTGGGCAGGGCCGTCCACTGCGCTGACCTCGTCTGTCCTGCCAGCTGGGGTGGCTGTGAGGACACGGCGAGGCTGAGACACTCATACCAGCGGCCTGCAGGGGCCACTACGCAGCAGAGGTCGTGGGTCCTGGCAGGGAGAGTGATCCCCATGGCACCCTAGGCGAGTAACCCAGGGTCTGGAGGGCACACTGAGGCTGGGGCTGTGCCAGGTGGTGAGGGGTGAGGCCCACCCTGGATGCTGGCCCAAGGCCCCTGGCGCCTGGTGATTCACTCCCTGGCCGGCGGGCATGGAACATGGGTTTGGATGGCGGCTGTAGACTCGCACCCCAAGGGCCGGCCGGCATAGAGACCAGCAGGGACCCCTGGGGTGCGGGGCAGCGGAGGACAGAGGTCCTGGATGGGACTTCTGTGACCCCTCAGGTAGCCGTCCAGCTGGAGCCCCCCTGGGCACTTCACCAGTGTTAGCCCTGGGCGTGTGGCCTGCCAAGATGGGGACCCTCGGGGTCATGGGAAGTGCTTGTCCCCAGTTCAGGGAAGTGGTGGTTCCAGGGGCTCCAGGCTTGGGACGCTCCCGTGGGGTGAGGGTGGGGGCTCTGCCGTCTGCCTCTGTCTCTCAGTGCTGTTCTGTGATGTTGCTGCTGAGGCCTTGGCCTTGGACCGTAGCCTTCTCTTTGGATGCGTGTACAGTGGCCCTTCAAGGCCCCTGTCCTGGCGGCCGGAGGTCTACTCCTGCCTGTGGGGCTGTGATCTCTGTCTAGACCTGTGATGTCTCCACGTGGCTGCCCTGGGTCACAGTCCCAGGCTGTGGAGGAGCCGGGGTCCAGCTTGGGAGCTCGAAGGTTTGTATTCCGTGCGCCCCAGGACAGGAGGCCCTGTGAGACACCCTGCCTGTCCCACAGCTTTCCCACGGCTCCTGCCCCTGCTGCTCTCCCACCCCCTCTGCTCCCCCAGAGGACGAGGGAGGGGCTCTGGGCCCAAGCACGAGAGGCAGGAGCGGTGTGTCGGCGGGCCTGGAGCCAGGGCCAGCAGCAGAGGTGGGAGCCGGACGTGCCCAGCGTCGCCCTGGGAGGGAGAGACTGCTGGTCTGGGTCAGCAGCCACTGGAAGCAATCCACGCCGCCTTGCCTGGGAATCTCCCGAGGAGAGGGCAAAGGTCAGGGGCCGAGCCCCAGGCTGTCCTGTCCAGGCAGGGCCCACCCGCACCTGTTGGCCCTGCTGGGCGCTCACGCTCTGGGAAGGATGTGGGTTCTGCTCACCCAGCTGGCAGCAGGGGATTTCCCTTGCCAGGGCTCCCCAGGAGCTGGACTTGGGGTCCCCACCTCTGTATTGCCGACCCCATTCAGGGGGCCAAACTCCACACCTGCGGTCTCTGTGGTGAACCAGGCCCAGCGATTCACCTCCCCGGAGAAGAGGCCGGGGCCTCCCCACAGCCAGCTCGGTCCCCACTTGGGCACGGGCGTGGGGCCTGCCCCTGTGACCTCTGTGCCCATGGCGTGGCCGCCAGGAGCCTGCTCTTCAGCATCAGGTCTCCAGGGGCCAGTCTCGGGGTGCTGGGTCTCAGGGGTGCTGAGACTCCAGGGGCCAGGTCTCAGGGTGCTGGGTCTCGGGGTGCTGAGTCTCTAGGGGCCAGTCTTGGGGTGCTGGGTCTGGGGGTACTGAGTCTCCAGGGGCCAGTCTCGGGGTACTGAGTCTCCAGGGGCCAGTCTCGGGGTGCTGGATCTCGGGGTACTGAGTCTCCAGGTGCCAGGTCTCAGGGTGTCAGGTCTCAGGGTGCTGGGTCTCCAGGTACCAGGTCTCAGGGTACTGAGTTCATGATGCTGGGTCTCCAAGTGCCAGTTTCAGGGTGTTGGGTCTTGGGTGTTGGGTCTTGGGGTGCTGGGTCTTGGGTGCTGGGTCTCAGGGTACTGGCTCATAGGGTGCTGGGTCTCTAGGTGCCAGTCTCAGGAAGCTGGGTCTTAGGGTGTTGGATCTTGGGGTGTTGGGTCTTGGGGTGCTAGTTCTCGGGGTACCAGGTCTCAGGGTACTGAGTTCATGATGCTGGGTCTCCAGGTGCCAGTTTCAGGGTACTGGGTCTTAGGGTGCTGGGTCTTAGGGTGCTGGGTCTCAGGGTGCTGGGTCTCGGGGTGTTGGATCTTGGGGTGTTGGGTCTT